CTGTGACGGTCCCAAAGAAATCCTGGGAGATAGGTATTACTCCTTTGCAAGGGGCGACAGGCGGGCTTGAGGCCTTTGGGCTCAGGCCAAGTACTTCAACTCTAGGCTAAGTTGAAGGCAGGAAAGAGCCAGCCCTCCACTCAGAGGTGTGATCCTTCCTCAGACACATTCCACCAAGAGGTAGAATGACACCAAATTGTCTCCACAATTGCAGGTACTTCAGCAGAGGGTGGGGCCTGCGGATCTGTGCGCTGCACTGCCTCAGGTGCAGCTCCAGGGGAAGAACCCCAGCAGGACTGGACTGGATTGAGCAGAATTGTTTCCTTTGGCATCTGGAAGTACTTGTCATTTGGGGAATGAGGGTGAATGAAGCCAGGAGAAGGAGCGGAGGCCTATATCTGAGAAGTGACATCATGAGGCAGGTCTGAGCGGAGGCTGCTGGGTTCTAGGCAGAAAACCAGGCTTGAGAGCTGGGGGTGTGTGGATGGAGAGCTAACTGGGGCTGTGAGGCTGGAGGAGAAGAGGGATTCAGGATGAAGGAGGGTCCAGAAGGTTTCAGGCCGGGGAAAGGGCCAGCCTTCTAGACACCAAAGTGTCCATTTAGTTACAGCGGAAGTGACACGGGCACCTAAAGTACAAAATGGCTTTAAACTAGCCACACTTACCTATTGGGGCTCCCACAAATTCTGCAGAAACTAAGAGCTTTTTGGAACACATACAGGGTTAAAAAGCAGACATCAAACAAATGGAAGTTCACAAGAGCACTTCTAACTTTGAGAAAAATGAGATTAATCAGTGGAAGTAGGAACTTTTAAAGAAAAGAATCAGAACTTCTTCTCTTACAAACAAAGCTTGAACCTCTTAGCAATCACGACTCTGATTGCGAGACTCATACTCAAGTGCCTGGAGAGTCTTTTATTGCCAAGAACCGTGGCACTTCAGATAGAAGAATTACTCAGAATTCAGCTCCAGTCTAAATTAGCCCAGACAAAAGACACAGACAGTTTCAGGCTGAAGTCAACATCAGAATTTTTGTTTGTTAGAGATTTTTAAAGTATGAAATTAATTCACATTGAATGAAGAAAAATCAGTGAAATATACAAAAGTATAAAGAATAAAACAAATATTCATAGTCCATACTCCAGAGGTGGTTGACATTTAAAATTTGTTTTTCAATTTTATTCTGTGAATAACCTGTATTTTTCTCCATGCAAATCAGGATTATATTAAATAAAAATTTGGTTTTTTGCTCTTTTCATCACGAACAGTTCTCCACTGCCTTCATTATTCCTTGAAACATACTTTTTAATGGTTCCATAAGATTACTTTTTATGAATGTCGTCATTTATTTTATTCATTTTTTATTTGATGATCAATTAGGTTGTTTCAATTTTTCATGATTTTAAATATATTAATAATTGTATCAAACATCTATGGATGTAATCTTTGCACATCTCTCTGATTATTTCCTTAAGAGGAATTTTTAGGCTGTTAAAATTTGAGGACTTCTTGATACCCACTCTCAAATTACTTTTCAAAATGGTCACAGTTCTTTACTGTGTGTCTAGGGTGGGTTAATTTGAATACACGTTTCTCCCCCAACCCCTTGATTCTGATGCAGGGACTCTGAGGGCCACACTTTGAGAGATTGCCCTTAAAAAGCTACCCATTTCCTTCACATTTCGCCTCAATAGAATCCTCAGAAAGCTTAAAGCTATAAACCAAAAGGCTTGTGGCATCCTGAGTTTCTCTTTAAGATTCCTTTTGGATCTTCCTATGCCAAAACTAGATCAAAATCAAGGCAAAGTGCATACCTTGAAAACATAGGTAAATGCTACAAAATGATAACCCATAGAAGAAAAATATTCAATAAACATATAAAGAAGTGTCCAACTAATAATCAAAGAAATATAAAACAAAACAGCTAGATCCCATTTTTCAACTAACAAGTGGATAAAGGTTTTTGTTTTCTCTCCTGCCCCCCCTTTTTTTAGTGATAATGCTCAGTGTTGGCTAATGATTCGTGAAACAAGCACATTCATACATTAATATTTGAACACATTCAAGTGCATTCAACAACACACACTTCTATAATCTCTCTATATGCTTCATTGACAGCCCAAATTTGACAACCACATGACTACTGAGGCAAATAAACCTGGTATTCTGATGTTCCTATACCCTCTGGAACAAAAGACAGACAATCATACAAAGAAGTAAGCCAAAACATGGAAGAACGGAAGTTGACTGGGCTGCTGTGTCATATTGCACTTTCTGTTCTTTTGACTTCTTGACCACTGTTCTTTAACACATTAAATTGCCATGTGAATTGTATTTAACTCACGATAGTGTTGAGCCTGGGGACTCATGAAGCATACGAAGACTCAATTCTCTGAAAGAAATTCAGAGTCGTGAGTCATATTCAACTCCTGGTGTGCAGTATAAAAATTGATTCTAGTGCCATGTGAGTAACACAGAAAATAATAAAAAAAAAATCACAATTTTTTCATTAAATGAGAAAGGATCATTTTGTTTTTGAAGTTTTTATTCTATTTTCGTAATAAGACACCATGGCCCCAGGGGAAAAATTTTTTTCTAGTGTGGCTGTTAGTGTGTTAATTTGATTAATGCATTATTACCCAGCTACTCAGTGCCCCAACTTAGAAAAATTATAGCCATCCTTGATGCCTTCCTGTTCCTTGCATCCCTTATTTCTTCTTGTGCATATAACTGTTAATTTTACCTACAAATATCTTTAAACCTCTCCTTTCCTCTCTTTCTCACCACCTCTTAGTCCCTTATCATCTCCCTCTCTCTCCTGTTTATTCTACCCATAAGCTCTATGGTCATCCCACCCCTGTCAACGGGAAAAAAAGCCAAACTGTAAAATAATTTTTAAAAGATTTATTCTGGGCTGGGCGTGGTGGCTCACGCCTGTAATCCTAGCACTTTGGGAGGCCGAGGCGGGCGGATCGCTCAAGGTCAGGAGTTCGAAACCAGCCTGAGCGAGACCCGTCTCTACCAAAAATAGAAAGAAATTAATTGACCAACTAAAAATATATATCAAAAAATTAGCCGGCATGGTGGCACATGCCTGTAGTCCCAGCTACTCGGAGGCTGAGGCAGGAGGATTGCTTGAGCCCAGGGGTTTGAGGTTGCTGTGAGCCAGGCTGACGCCACGGCACTCACTCTAGCCTGGGCAACAAAGTGAGACTCTGTCTCAAAAAAAAAAAAAAAAAAAAAAGATTTATTCTGAACCAAAATTGAGGACCATGACCCGGAGCCATGCTCAAGAAGTCTTGAGCAAGTAGACTTGCTGTGGTTGGGTTACAGTTTGGTTTTATACATTTCAAGGAGACAGGGGTTACAGGTAAAGTCATAAATCAATACCTGGAAGACATACATTGGTTTGGCCCAAAAAGGTGGGTCATCTCGAAGTGTGGGTGGGAGGGGTGGGGGTGGGGTGGGAGGGTGTGGCTTACAGGTCATAGGTGGGTTTAAATATTCTTTGACTTGTAATTGGTTAAAGACAGGAAGCTTTGTCTAAAGGCTTGGAATGTTTTATCATAAGGAGCTGTTCATCAGAGATGAGCCAACAGACATATATTTGTTGCGTAAATTGAGGACCTGCAGGTTTGTCTTGCATACTCTTAGGCCTGTTAATGGGTTACAAAGGCTGTCCCCAAGAAGGGAGGGGGGCATGATGAATCATGTCCTCCCTCCTTCTGGCAGGCAATTTAGTTTTAGGATGTTCCTTTAGCCATGAGGGAGTCCATTCAGTCATTCGGTAGTGGGGGGCGGGGGGAGGTGAGCGTTAAGATTTTATTTTAGTTCACACCCCCAAACTGCACCAGGTCAGCATACAGTCTAAGTAGTAATGTGACTAGAAGCTTCTATTTGCTATGCAAAAGCTTCTAGATGAATAATATCCTTCCCATTGCCCCCTTCCAATTGTTTTCATCTTCAAACCCTTCCTTAGTGGAGGGGTGAGAGTGGGAATTTTAGAAGGGTTGAAGGACTGGAGAACACTAGGGAAGTTAAAACTTAGTAAGCGTGAAAGAATGAATGAAATGCCTGAGGCAGCTGTGGCCAGAATTTGAAATTCTGGAGGTGGAGCAGCTCTGAGTGACAGTGATTCAAGGTGTAGCCCTAAGGGTGGGTTGCTGAAGTGAGTGAGACAAGGGAAGGCGAGGCCCTGTTGTTTCATGGGTCGTCTGCACAGACCCTGAAGTAGCTCAGATGTATGCTGTTATTCACACAGAGCCAGCGAATATGAACAGCTCAGTGTAACCTTTCTCCATTCCTGGAAAAACAACTTAGAGCGAAGGACAAAGGGTTACTGTGTTGTTCCTTCCATGTACAAGGAAATAATAATTTTGATGGATTTGGTTGGACATTTAGGAGCCAAATCAAACTGTGTGCGTAATTGTTTTGCAAAGGTGCTAGGACTTAATTTTCAGATCTGGAAATGAGAACAGGTGGTGGCTGGTGGCAGGAGTCACAATGGTTTCCATGACGACGGGACTGGGTCTTAGTCATCTTCCCATCCTCCACAAAACCTACTGCAGCTTTTTTCATAGGGTGCTTATTAAATATTTGTTAAATGAATGATGAACCAAAGAATGGCTTGTGTTCTTTGCAATTAAGGCTCCTGTTCTTTAGCTAGTCTAAAAGCCTTTAAAACAACAGTAATTACTGTATTTACACATGACATTTTGCATAATTTGCATATTAACCTGAAAATAACAAACTATATACTCCCATTCCTGCTAAACAACCCCAGCCCACATTCCCTGTAGTGGAAGAAGTAGTTTAGATGTCCTGTTAAAATGTCATAAAAGAGGGGAGTGGGTTCAGGGGTGTGGGGCGTCCCGTGCTGTATTTATGCTCCCACATTTGCTAAAACGCTTGTTTTGTTCCCGCTCTCCAGCCCCTCCCCCCTCTTGGGCTCTGCGCAGGCTCCAGCGTTCCCCTCCCCCCCGCAGCCCTTTTCCCGCGCTAAGGCTGATGCCCACGAGCCCTAGCCCTAAGCACAAAAGGCCTTGCTAACTGGCGTCCCGCGTTGCCCTTGGCAACCATTGAGCGGACCCTTGCTCTCTTGACCCTACGATGCGAAAGTAAACGGCGCCCCCATTGGCTGGCAGGGGAAGACAGGCCAATCGGAGAAGAGGTTATAGGGAGGCAGCTGAGCTAGAATGGGGGGGGATAGGAAGCTAGGGTTAGAGGCAACCCGTGAGGTTAGAACCCCGAGCGTGGTCGGTTGGAGCAAATATGTCTGTCCGGAGGCACATTGGGAATCCTGAGGTGAGGGCCAGGTCTCGGTCGAAGAGCCGGAGGGGGCGGGCGCACCGGAATAATTTCACGTGGGCAGGGACGAGCAGCCTGAGACTTCCGCCGCCCGGAAGGCGGGAAGTGTCCGGCGTGGGGAGGGGTCGCAGAGCAGGGCCGGGGGCGTGGCGCGCCGGGGGGACCCGGGGCCTCGTTCACGATCCCGTGCTGAGAGGCGATCGGTCACCCCGAACGTGCTGTACGCCTGTACTTGTTGAGAGGAGCGAAGGACATAAAGACACAGCTCCTGCCCTCAAAGGGCTTACAGTCCTGGAGTGACAGTTACAAAACTGTAAAAGACAAAGGAAGTAAAAGACAAAGGAAGCGCCAATACTGTTGTAACGAGATGAAAGGGAGCCATCATATCTGGTTGTGGCACGAGAAGAGCAGGAATAAACAGACCAAGAAATTGGGAGAGGGGCGAAATAGACATTAGTTTTGCCCCTTCTCCATAGGACCTTTCAGTTTCATCATCTTTTTCAACCCTAGTGCCCTGCTGCATTTGTGGCAATATAATTCCTTTTTTTTTGAGACAGCGTCTCACTCTCTCTGTTGCCCGGGTTAGAGTGTTGTTGGTGTCAGCCTAGCTCACAGCAACCTCAAACTCCTGGGCTCAAGCAATCCTCCTGCCTCAGCCTCCATAGTAGCTGGGACTACAAGCATGTGCCACCATGCCCGGCTACTTTTTTTCTATTTTTAGTAGAGATGGGTCTTGCTCTTGCTGACGCTGGTCTCGAACTCCTGAATTCAAGCAATCCATCTGCACCGGCCTACCAGAGTGCTAGGATTACAGACATGAGGCACCGTGCCCAGCCTGGCAATTTAGTTACAATAAACATGATTGGATTCCTACTATGCAATAGGTGCTAGACATACAAAGAAAATAAGACAAGGCCTCTGTCCCTTAATAAATTCAGTCTATTGAGGGAGACCTGTAAACAGTTTTGAGTACAAATTTGGTGAGCGAGATGCCATGAGAGTATAATATGAGTGTTATGAGGGGAAAAAAAAGTAGGACTCAACTGAGGGAGTGAGAGAAGGGTTCTGGAGATGGAAGGGTTCCGGACATGGCAAGGCCATTAGTCAGGTGAGGCATGCCAGGTAGAGAAAACAGCCTGAGCAAAGTTAGGGAGTGAACTCTGAACAGTCCCCTGGAGTCTGTACCGAGGCAGGAGTATAGTGGGAGGGGCCTTCTTAGATGTTATACCAACAGGAGTTGCCATTGTTTCATCTTGGTGAATGCCTGGTGCTACTATGAGAAAGTTGTAAGATGAGTCTAGGCTTTGTGGGACAGTGCCATGATCAATTAATAATGTCTAAAGACTGCATGATCTTATTTATAGGTGGAATCTTAAAAAGTCTGACTCATGGAAGTAGAGAGGTGTAGGCTGGGCGTGGTGGCTCATGCCTGTAATCTTAGCACTCTGGGAGGCCAGAGGCATGCGGATGGCTCAAGGTCAGGAGTTGGAAACCAGTCTGAGCAAGAGCAAGACGCCAGTCTCTACTAAAAATAGAAAGAAATTAATTGGACAACTAAAAATATATAGAAAAAATTAGCCAGGCATGGTGGCGCATGCCTATAGTCCCGGCTACTCAGGAGGCTGAGGCAGAAGGATTGCTTGAGCCCCGGAGTTTGAGGTTGCTGTAAGCTAGGTTGAGTCACGGCACTCTAGCCAGGGCAACAGAGTGAGACTCTGTCTCAAAAAAAAAAAAAAAAGAAGTTAGAGTGGTGTAGAATGGTGTTTACCAGAACTTGGGGGTCAGGGTGGAAATGGGGAGATGTTGATCAAAGGGTAAAAAGTTTCACTTATACAAGAGGAATAAGTTTGAGATCTATGGCACAGTAGGGTGACTCTAGTTAATAATAATATACAGCCAACCCCCAGTACAAGAGAAAATCCATTTATAACTTTTGACTCTCCGGAAACTTAACTATGAATAATAGCCTATTGTTGACCAGAAGCTTTAAAGATGACAGTCAGCACATATTTGTATGTTACATGTATACTGTATTCTTACAATAAAGTAAGCTAGAGAAAAGAAAATGTTAAGAAAATCATAAAGAAAATAACACATATTTTCTGTTCAGTGGAAGTAGACCATTGTAAAGTTCTTCATCATTGTTACATTGAGTAGGCTGAGTAGGAGAAAGGAGTGTTTGGTCTTGCTGTCTTAGGGGTGGCCTAGGCAGAAGAAAATCTGCATGCAAGTAGATCCACACAGTTCAAGCCTTGTTGTTCAAGGTTCAACTATGTTGTATATTTTAGAACAGCTAAGGGAGTAAATTTTAAATTTCTCAACATAAAAAAATAAGTGAGGTGATATATATGTTAATTAGCTTGATTTCCCCATTGCATGTATATTTATCAAAACATCATATTGTACTCCATAAATATGCAATTATGATTTGTGAATTAAAAATAATAAATGAAAATATTAGTATTGTCTATCAAGGGAATGGGAGAGGTAGGTGTGAAGAGTGGCCATTTGACATATTTATCTTGCCTGCTGGTCAAAATTTCTGAAGCTTTTGAAGAGTTTTAGTAAGAGTGATGTGGTCAGATTTTACATTTTAGGCAGATGGCTGTAGCCACATTGTGGAGGATGGATGGGTTTGATGAGGCTCTAGGACTGGAGATAGTGAGATTGGTTAGGTGGTTACTATTTTGATGCAGATCTAAACTAAGACTATGGAACTAGGGACAGAATTGAAGAGAAATATTTGGGGTAGAATCATCAAGACTTCATGTTTAGCTTTGATTGGTGACTTAGGTTCCTATCTTCGACTACTCATTGGTGCTGGTGCCATGAGTGAGATCAAGAATGTGGGAGAAGGAGAAGGAGGAATAGTCTTAGGAGTGTAAGGGGAAAGGAGTGATGATGCCCTGTCTGGTTGTAGGTTTGTGCCCAAGACAAAGATGCCCAGCTTACTCTCTTATTTCAGTGGAGCACAACTTCCAGTAGTTTCTTAAGAAAGAATACATAAATAAATATTTTTTGTTTATGTCTTAAAGGTTAGGCATATCTAAAAATGCTATTATTTTACCTTTACTTTTTTTTTTTTTTTTTTTTTGAGACAGAGTCTCGCTCTGTTGCCCAGGCTAGAGTGCCATGGCATCAGCCTAGCTCACAGCAACCTCAAACTCCTAGGCTCAAGCAATCCTACTGCCTCAGCCTCCCGAGTAGCTGGGACTATAGGCATGCGCCACCATGCCCAGCTAATTTTTTCTATATATATTAGTTGGCCAATTAATTTCTTTCTATTTATAGTAGAGAAGGGGTCTTGCTCTTGCTCAGGCTGGTTTCGAACTCCTGAGCTCGAGCAATCCGCCCGCCTTGGCCTCCCAGAGTGCTAGGATTACAGGCGTGAGCCACCGCGCCCGACCTACCTTTACTTTTATTTTATTTGCCTGAGAGTTTAGCTGAGTATAGAATTATTGGTTGCAAATCTATCAGCATCTTGAAAACATTGCTTGGTGATCTTCTAGCATCCAGTGTAGCTGTGGAGAAGTCCAAAGCCGTTCTGTTGCTTTGTGACTTGTTTTTCCTCTCAGGAAGCTTGTAGAATCTTCTCTTTGTCCCTATTGTTATGACTTTCACAAAGATATTTTTTCTATGGTCTATTTTCACTTATTTATATAGGTACTAGAAACTCATATGTCTTTCTAGTCTATAAAATATTTTTAAATCATTTTCTTATTAACTTTATCCCAGTTTCTCCCCCTCTGTTTCTTGAATTCATTATTCTGATTTTGCACCTATGTGACTAGTTTTCTAATTTTCTTAAATTTTATCTCCTGTTTTCTTCACTTAAATCTTTTTGCCCTTTTGGGGAGATTTAACTTTATCTTCCAATCCTTCTAGTGAATTTTAATTTCTGCCATCATGTTTTTAATATTTAAGAGCTCTATTTTTTACTCTGATGTCCTTTTAAAAAACTTTTTATTTTAAAATAAATAGAGACTCACAGGAGGTCGCAAAAATAATATAAAGAGGTCTTGTGTATCCTTTACCCAGTTTCCCCCAATGATTATATTTTACATAAGACTAGTACAGTATCAAAACTAGAAAACTGAAATTTGTACAATGTGTGTGTAGTTCCAGGCCATTTTTATCACTTGTGTATATTTAATATCATTAAGATCTGCACATATGTAGATTTGTAATAAAGATAGAGAATTATTGCATTGCCACAAATATCTTCCTCATGCTACCCTTCCTAGTCACACCCACTTTTCTCCCTCTCACCATCCTAACCCCTGGCAACCACAAATGTGTTCTCCATCTCTATAATTTTGTCATTTTGACAATGTTACATAAAATCAGGACAGCGTGTGGCATTTTGAGTTTGGCTTTTTTGCACTCGGGATGAAGTCCTTGATATACATCCAACTTATGGCATATAGCAATAGTTCATTCTTTTTTATTGCTGATTAGTATTCTATGGTATGGATGTATAACAATTTTTTAACCATTCAACTAGTATAGGACATTTTGGTTGTTTTCAGTTTGGGGTTATTGCAAATAAAGATAAGAATATTTGTCTTTGTGTGGACGTTAATTTTCATTTCTCTGGGATAAACGCCCAGGAGTACAATTGCTGGGTTGTATGTTAAGCATATGTTTAGTTTTATTAGAAACTGCCAAACTGTTTTCCAGAGAGGCTGTACCATTTTACATTCCTGCCAACAATGTATGAGAGATTCAGTTTTCGCACATTCTTGGAAACATTTAACATTGTCGATATTTTTTTATTTTAACTGTTCTAATAGGTGTGTAGTACCACTGTCATTGTGGTTTTAAATTGCATTTCCCTAATGGATACTGATTTTGAAATTTTTTTTTTTTTTTTTGGTATAAATCTGAAGGGTACAAATGCAATTTTGTTACATGGATATATTGCACAGTGGTGAAGTATGGGGCTTTTAGTGCAGCAGTCCCCAACCTTTTTGGCACCAGGGACCAGTTTCATGGAA